CCGAGTAGCTTGCAACTACAGGCATGCACCACCATGCTTCAGCTAATTTTTCTATATATATTAGTTGGCAATTAATTTCCTATTTATAGTAGAGACGGGTCTCGCTCTTGCTCAGGTTGGTTTAAAACTCTTGAGCTCCAACGATCTGTGTTAGAGGCAAGGACCCTCAAAGACCCTTAACTCTCTTATGACTTTTCTTACCCAGGGCTTCGCCCTGGAAAATTCCTAGGACAAAAACAACACCCCACCCTCCAGCTATAGCTCCGAAAAGAATGCGTTCCAAAAGCTCCAGGTGTGCTAACTGCAATTGTTCCCGACCACCTGCCAGGTTGGGTCGAGTAATCAGTCACAAACCTCGATACTGATGAGATACTGATTGGGGCTGATTAGCCCAAACCCAAGACTCAACCGTCACCCACTTGCATTTTGTTTCTACTTCTTGTTTCTGTATGCTTTATAAAACCTACTAAGAATCTAAGTAAAGTAGACCTTGACAACCCTTTGCTTGGTCTCGTTCCTTTCTCTCCGCCCAATCTCTTTCAGGCAAGGTCCCCTTGACCCCACGAGTAACAGAAGGTCGCTGGCCGGGACAGATCTGCCCACCTTGCTTCCCAGAGAGCTAGGATTACAAAGTAGACCTTGACAACCCTTTGCTTGGTCTCGTTCCTTTCTCTCGCCCATCTCTTTCAGGCAAGGTCCCCCTTGACCCCACGAGTAACAGAAGGTCCCGAGTAACAGAAGGTCCCGCGGGCCAGGACAGATCTGCCCACCTCGGCCTCCCAGAGAGCTAGGATTATAGGCGTGAACCACCGTGCCTGGCCATCTGTAAAGTTTTAAGTTTTAAAACTGACACAATCCAGTGTTTATGAAAGTGCAGGCCTCACATACACTGTTAGTGTGGACTACAAGATGACCAGAATTTTCAGAAGGCAATTTAGCAACATGTATCAAAAATCTTTATAGGTAATATTGGTATCTTATTACTCTTTATTTTCTATAAAGAATATATGTAACTTTTATAAAAGCTTAAAAGCAAAATAAAAGTTATTAGAAAAAAAGCTTTCAAAAAAAATCTTATGACATTATTGTGCCAAGAACTAAGCATAGTTAATATTAAAAAATTTAGTATTTTCCATTTTAGAAGTTCACTGAACTTACCTCTCAGCCATAAATCCTCACTGAGTGAGTCTGCAAAAGCACTTGCACCTACGTCACCAATCAGCGTGTTGCAATTCAGTGTGATACGCCTTAAGCCAGCCATACAGTCAAGATCAGGTCTCCTATAGCGAAGACTCTCAGCCCAGGTTTCTTCATGTCTTTTCATGGTCTGATACTTCAAAGATTTAATAAGATAAAATTAAAACACTTGAATAAGGAAACAGAAACACTAAAAGGAACTAAGTATGGCTGATTACGTCAGAGTTTTATACATACACATCAAGTGTATATGACAGGAAAGTCAACCTGACAGATTGATTAGACAGTACATTCTGTTTAGGAGTATAGTGACCCAGATTCTACTCTGCCACTGATTAGTTGTGTGACTCTAACCACTGGTGACCTGCTGATTATTTATGTAAACCAACAACTTAATTAACTTCTAAGAATTTTATTTTCCTTATCTGCCAAATCAAGGAATTCATTCTAATCCTATCATTGCTGACCCTCTAAATTCCATCATGCCAAACACTTGATTGGGCATCCTACAAGTAGACATTGTTTTAACATGTGTCTTATTTATCAATAAATTATACACATGAAGTTCTATATACCTATTTTATGTACATTATAAACTATACAGAAATGACAGATATTTTTTAAATGCTATGAAAAATAAATACAGCGGCTCTAATATTTTCTTCTCCTAACCCAAGAGTTCTCACATACTTCTTTGGGTATGCATGCCAACTTTAGAGACCTAGAATATGCAAAGCCAGGTTGATAGACCTTAGAAAATTGGTGGCTTGAATTTTAAGCACAGGTATTACCTTAAAGACATATAATCAGTTTCTCTGTTCATAAAGTAAATTCTGGTAACAGGGAACACTGACTTTAAAAGGAAAAAAAATCTTTTATATTCTTAAACAACAAAAGACTCAAGCTCCTGGATGAGTACTGTGTTAGTGTCGCAAGATCTTAGTGTCATTTTCTTTTCTTGTTTTTTTTTTTGAGACAGAGCTCTCTCTTTGTGGCCGAGGGCTAGAGGAGTGCCCATTTGCGCGCGGTCAGGTCATAGCTCACGAGCAAGCCTCAACTCCTGGGCTATAGGCCGATCTCTGTCTCAGGTCCTCCCCCGAGTAGCTTGAGTTACTATTATGGCATGTCTTATGCTCTTCTTATGCTTCTGTGCTTGAATTTTTTTTTTTTTGGGTATACATATTTTAGTTCCAAGTTAATTCTTTCAATTTTAGTAGAGATGGGTCTTTGCCGCAGGCGGTTTTGAGACTCCTGACCTCGCAGCCAATCCACCCCACCTCGCCTTGCCCGATGCCTAGGGACTTAAGGCCGTGAGCCGAGCTCCGCCCGCCATTTTTGCATAATAATTAACTGTATAAAAGCAATAAGAGGCAATAACAGCAACGTCTACCACGAGACTGTGATTATGGTGCTAGGCACGTATATACACATTTAATTCATTTGAATCCTCGAGAATGCTGCGACAAAGGCTTCTGTGATATAGTATGGTTTACCAGATGAGGAAACTGAGGCATAGAGAGGTTAAGTAATTTGCCCATGGTCACCAAGGTATTAAATGGGAGAGCTAGGCTTTTAACCAAGGCTGTGTGGCTTTAGAATCCACACTCTTGACCATTACCTATCTGAGAGGTCAGTGAGTTTGCTCTGTAAAGGCCCAAAAATAAGCATTTTCAGCTTTGTGAATCATATAGTTTCTTTTGCAACTATTAAACTCTCCTGGAGTAGGGTGAAAGTAGCCACAGCTACTATGAAAACAAATGGGCATAGGTATGTTCCCAAAACTTTATTTACAAAAATAGGCAATGGGCTGGATTTGATCCACAAGCCATAGCCTGCCTATCCCTGATCTATATGCCATCAAACTACTAAAAAGGCTTCAGATCAAATTATTAAGTAATTTTAGACCTAAATATAGTAGTTTTAACCAATATAAAGTTAGGTCACCTTTAAAATTATTGTTTTAAAACCTGTATTTACCAAATGTTAATGTAGTGATTTTTATTAGTTTATAAACTACAGTTATTTGAGTCATTTAAGAGCTGTAACAGCATAAACTTTCAGTGCCACAATAAACATTTTCAATAACTAAAAGTATATAAAAGTATTGCTCATAATGTATTATATTTTAAATATCTTATTTCTAGGATTAAGAATATTATCTTTACTAAATGGTAGAACCTCAAACTGAAAACTGGTCATGTTCATTCAACAAAACTAAAACTGTAACCACCATATGTATCAAAACACAAAAATAATTGCCATCTTATATCAAAATACTCATGTGCCTCAATCACATAATATGTTTTCATGAAATTTTGAACATAAAGTCACCTTTAAGATCTTGGCCATGTGATCTGCTCCCTGCCATGTCAGATTACACCCCGTGAAGTTGACTGTCTGAAGAGGGATAGAGCTCTTTATACCTTGACAAATAACTAAAAGGAAAAAAAGACCACATACACAGTAAGATGAAGAACCTATACAACCGTGATTTGCTTTTCTTGTGTCTATTCTAGTTTATAGATGTATTCTTAAAATCACCATCTACAATTTTCCCAAGCAATTGATGGATTAGGGCATTCTAAAATATGTCAGTTATAAAGTGTTGTACCAATTTACACAATAGTTTAACTCTATTTAGATGCTAAAATTGAGTAACCTGAATATTGCAAACTTATTCCCCACCACACTGTAAAGTACTATATACATTTTGAGATATTTGAAATAAAAAGAAAAATCTAAAAAGCCTAAGTCTTTCTCTTCCTATTTTTATTTCCAACATAAGAACTCAATCTTGATTATCAATCAACAATTAAGTGTCAACTATAAACCCAGAATGTTATTAGGTGCTATACTAGAGCACCTAATCTACTAGAACAATAGAACATAGAGGACCTCAAACTGTTCCCTCAAATCGAAATGCAGACTACCTTATCCCTCCAGACCACTATTCCACACAGTCTGATGGGAAGAGAGTTAATTAAGATTTAAACTCACTTTCTAAACCTCCATCTCCAATTGGACAATTTGCAAGAGACAGGTGCACCAAAGAAGCCGATTTATTCAATCCCTTTAATGAGGGGAAAAAGTTAAAAATTTATTGAGTTTTTTTCCTCCAAAAGCAACTATCAAATGTTTGCAGGCCATGTTGGAGAAAGCTTACCTTTGTTAAAACAGTTAAATCTCTCTCTCTCAGAACTAGTCCATTTAGCTCCAGGTTCTTTAGCACACTTGATATACTTAAACAGCCTTTAAGAGCTTTACATAACTGGAAGGTCACATCTTTGAATCTTATGGCAGGAACACGACCTCTGCAAACTTTATTTATGTCAGAACCTAAAGCAAAGTTATTGTAAAGTTAGTGATTTCAATCATAGAGTTTATCATTAAAAAGCTTCTGCTCTGTGCTAAGACACAGTCCTCTTAAGGAGGGATACATGTAAACTCAAGCCCCATGAGATACGCACAAACTATACAGAGAGAGGTTCTTCTGGAAGCAAAGAAGCTGCACCTAGGGGATGGCTTCAAGATACCCTGAAGTTAAATCTAGAAAGATGAGAATGACTACATGGGGCAGAGTGGGTGATGCATTAACCATAGAGGGAGCAGCATGTACAAAGGTATCCAAGCCTGACACCTGCAGGGCACTGTAAATACTGCAGGTGGAGATGACTAAAGCCCAGAGGAGTAGCGGGAAAAGAGTCAGAAATTAAAATAGGGAGTCTGAAGCAAGCCTGGGAGAGAGCTGGCTTCTATTTCACAGTTGATGAGGAACAGGACTACCACTGACACATTAAGGGTGCCCATAGCAGTTTAGAAAAATGTGCCTCACTGCTTCAGGGCCAAATAAAGGGAATGATTAGAAAACGCACCACTTCCTTAGGGCCAACTAACCCATGGGCTTGGTAGCACACAGCTTGGATATCAGTGGCTCTGTGCAACCAACACACACTGGTCCCAGGTGGGCATATCACTTTAAGCCTATCTCTTCATTTCAGAAAAATCACTTGAACCATAGTAGGCAAATGAACTGAGAAAAATCAAATTCAGGTGCAGCAAAACCAGCTATGAGCTTCTGCAACAGTCCAGGCAAAACAATTATCTAGGAGGTTAAAATCTACAACCTAGACCTACTAGATGCAAGACATAAAGAAGGTTCAGTGAGGAGTACAGGAAGAGAAATTATCTGTAATACATTTTTCTTACATTCAGTGCAAAATACTAGGCAAGATCAAGTCCCCTAGCCTTGACTCCAAGGTTCCTCCCATCTTTATTTTGGTTTTTCTTGTG